GTGGAATACGAAGCCTCGGGGGGAGGGGGGCCCTGGGCAGTTAGGGCGGCTCCTGGATGACTCCACACCTCGCTGGAAAGCGTTGTTCTCACGTAGGGATGGGCAGTTTCCTAAGGTACCTCTTTCTCTTCTATCATGATTTGTTCCACCAAGCATCACCGCCAGGTCCTGGGCGAAGACGCATTTCTCTTGCAAAATATATTTTTTAAGAAAGAGGGAAAGGTGTCGGGGGGGGGGGGGGGGAAGAGATTTTTTGTCGTTCCACTTATTATGCATTCAATGGTTGATTCCTGTATACGCCCTACCTGGCAGTGATGAACCCACACCTTGATGAATCAGGACGATGCTCTAACCAACTGAGCTGCCTGGCCAGGGATAGCAACATATTTTTAAAGAAACAGATGGGTCAATTCAAAACTTGAAAACGTTCGGCCCTAACCAGTGTGGCTCAGTGGATAGAGTGGACTGAAGGGTCCCAGGTTCGATTTCGATCAAGGGCATAGGCCCAGGTTGCAGGCTCGATCCCCAGTGGGGGGCGTGGAGGAGGCAGCTGATCCATGATTCTCTCTCATCATCGATGTTTCTATCTCTCTCTCCCTCTCCCTTCCTCTCTGAAATCAATAAAAAAAAAATGTATTTAAAAAAGCCCAAACTTGAAAACATTCGTATCTTTAAACAAACAGGACCCTCAGCACGCGCGACGCGGCCCGGAGACCCCGGCTCTCACATTTGGGGACGGCTCGGCTCCTCCGCAGGGCGGCGCTTTTCGGCCATCCTCGCCCGACCGCGGCACGTGGTATGACCTGCCTTCGATGAAGGTGATGTAGTCCTTGTAGGAGCAGAGGGGCCCGGCCAGGATGCCCATGAAGTTGCAGTTGTAACTCAGATACTCCAGGAGGCTGGGCATGCGCCTGCAAGTCAGAGACAGCCGCTGTGAGACGGACAGGCGCGAGCAGGAGACTCGGCAAGAACCCCATCCCCCGCCCGCCGCTCCCGCCACCTCCAGCCGGAGCAGGCTTCCCACGCCATGCGCTCCATGAGAGGTCAGGGTGCGGTCATGCTCAGCAGTTTCCAACAAAAGAGTTTGCATACAGATCGTTACGGGCAACCACGCAGGGTTCCTACGTGATTCTTCACAAGAAAACACACCGGAATGGACGAGACCTGGCAGAGAGCATCATCTCCTACCGGTCAGTCATCCGCTCACGTAAGACGTCTGTGAGGCCCGGCCGGCATGGCTCAGGGGTTGAGCATCGACCTATGGACCAGGAGGTCACAGTTCGATTCCCGGTCAGGGCACAGGCCCGGGTTGCAGGCTCGATCCCCAGTGTGGGGGGTGCAGGAGGCAGCCGATCCATGATTCTCTCTCATTGATGTTTCTCTCTCTCCCTCTCCCTTCCTCTCTGAAAGCAATAAAAACGTATTTTAAAAAAACAACAACAAGCAGAGAGAAAACAGCGGTCCCTGTCCACCTGCCACCAGCTGGGCCACCGCTTAACCGGAACTCCTGTCAGGTCTCTGACAATCGTCTACATTGCAAAGTGTTTTTAGGGATTTTCTCTTGAGAGCTCACAGCTGCCGGGAGCACACGGCTCTCAGCAGATTTCCCCCCGCAGCTCCCTCTGCTGCGTGCGGAGGCAGCATGCTCCCGGCCTCCCTCCCCGCAGCCGCGCTCACAAAGGGGCCCCTTGTGCGTCCACAACAGAGCCCCATTGTCGCCGCCAATCATTTCAAGACCCGAAGCAATGCCAGCTTGTCCGAGCGCAGCTCCGTCTCACCCGTCACACTATGTATCGCTATGGGCGAGGACGGGAGAGAACGCTGAGCCATGAAATCCGCTGGAATAATTTCTGGCTCAACTGTCATTTCAAACAAGCCGTTGCAGGGACTGCAGTGGGTCACTATTATTTGCTGCTGGAATGAGAACCAAGTGTGATCATGTTCTGTTCACTGATGATGTTAAACGAGTCCGTCCTTCATTCCGTCGGCATTTCCCTGACAGGAACAGTGTGGCCCCAGGCTGGGCTCCTCCATCTCCGCATTCCTGAGGTTGGTGACAGTAATTCTCTGTTGTCGGGGACTGTCCTGAGCCCATAGGATGTTCAACAGGATCTGGGCCTCTCCCGTTCCATGCCAGCAGCACCCCCCCCCGCCACGTGTGACAAAAATGTCTCCAGACATCGTCACGCGTCTTCTGGTGGCACAATCGCCCCCAGGGGTGACCTGCTAAGCAGGAGACGAGGATCGAACGATGAACAAGACCAAGTTCTTCCCCATGGAGCTCACGTTCCGGTCGGGAGGGGAACAATCAAAATAAACATCGACCCTCAGACCATAACACAGCCAGTGAGAGAAACGAGGCGGCCAGGGCTCGAGTGTGATGCAGGGAGGGGAGGCGAGATCCTGATGGAGGGCGGGGCCTGCGCGGTGACCGTGCACTGAGCTGAGCGAGGGAGAGCGGTGGCTACTGGCGCTTTCCGGGCCTTACGCGCGGGGGTCAGAAGTTTCCTAGTTTATTCTCGATTCTCAATTCGCTGGAGGATTTGTGTCAGGGGAGGGATGATAGAATTTAAAACACATTAAAAGGATCTCTGGCACCTGGCCAGTGCGGCTCAGTGGTTGGGTGTCGACCTATGAACCAGGAGGTCTGGGTTCGGGGCACATGCCTAGATTTTGGCTCAATCGCCAGTAGGGAGTGTGCAGGAGGCAGCCGATCAGTGAGTCTCTCTCATCATTGATCATTGGTGTTTCTATCTCTCTCTCCCTCTCCCTTCCTCTCTGAAATCAATAAAAATAAACATAAAAATTTAAACAAGGATCTCCGCCTACAGGGTGGAAAGGACGGCCCAGGGCAGGAGAGAGCCTGGAGCCCAGCGGGGGAGCTATTACAGCAGACACCCCTGGGCTGGGGGGCCTCAGTGGGAAAGGGGAAGGGTCAGTCAGGTCAGAGAGGGTAAAATTCAAGGTCAGCCTAGAGGTAGATTTCACAGAAATCGTTCACTGGACTTGCTGACGTGGATCTGCAATAGGAAAAAGGGAGTTTGCCTGCGTGTTTGCCCTGAGTCACTAGTGATAAAGGGCACGGTGATTTTTAATTTGGGGTGACCAATTCAACATGCGTCCAATCAGCAAGACGGGGTGTCTTTCCACTCCGCTTCCTCCCACAGTTCAGAGCGGAGAGCGGAGTCTACCGGGGCTGGGTGTCTGCCAGGCGGCGGCGGGAGACAGATGGATGGGAGCTGGGAATCCGCTGCTCAGCGGCTCCCGAGACAGACCAAGGCCTCGCAGAGATCACGGGACGGGATCAGTGAAGCTCGCGTCCGCTGAGTTCACTCAGGTGCACATCTACTGACTATAAATCTAACTACAGAGACCATGAAGGCAGGACATTTTAAAGGCGGGGAGATGCAAAGAGACACACCCGGGACGGAAGGCGAGCACCGGGGTGGGTCTGCCTGCGCTCTCAACCGCCGTCTCGTTCTCGGGCAGCCGTGCGCCTGTTCGTTCTAGATTTTCAGGACACGCGCCTCAGATGCAAAACACGCATCTGACCTCTAATTGGATTATTTTAAGGAAGATCCTTCCAAAAGGTGAGCTATTCCTTAAGCTCGTCAACAGAGCGCCTATAACAAGTGATGCAGCAGTCGATCCGGCGAATTCCTCAGGTAACGATGAGAATGTCTTACGGGGTCGCCATTGTCTGGAAACATGGCCTCCATGCGCCGTGTTAGCGTAGTACATCTTACCCAGTGCCTGCGTCAAGCTATCGGCCTACATGGGGCCGCTGCAATGATTGCTCATCACCACGACAGGGCAGGCTCGGGGGCCAACGCTCTCCCTGGCTTCAGGGGTCTCATGGGAGAGATGGAGGATTTGGCAGATGGCCTCATGGTACCGGGAGGTGCATGCTGGGTGGCGATCCGGTCAAGGGATGCCTGTATACAGGAGGGAGGCCGGCAGGACGTGGCGGAGGGGTGTGCAGAGGGAGGAAGCTGGGTTTTCGTGAAGGAAGTACCTCCAGCATGACAAGTCGGCCGTGGCCAGGTGAGTAGTGTGTGTCCCAGGCAGAGACAGCGGAAGCGGGCGGGACACAATTAAGAGGCACGCACCTTACAGCCAAGTCTCTCTGTGACGGAGTCAGGTCCTCGTCCTTCCGGAACATCCCTGGGAAACAGAGACAGGCTCTCTCATCAACTGGGATTTCATCAAAGAAAAGAACGGTTGTTTCCCCTCCACACTCTCATCACTTTTCGCATTCGAAATGCACGCTACCATCCCAGCCGTGGTATAATCGGCTCCTTCCTCGCCCATGGCAACACACGCTCCAGCCCACCAAAGGCCCATGGCGGAACCCAGCATGTCTAGGGCTGTATGAGGTGAACGCACACATCGGGAACTAACCTGACTCTTCTTTAGAGAAGATCATTACTAAGTGAAGAAATCCCCCAGAGCTAACATGTTTCCTAGCAAGTGTGATGACCTGTCAGAAGGGGCGTGAAAATGTTTCTGTCGTTGGATGGCTTACATGGCCAACGTCAGTGCTACGGGAGGAATGACCTCCTCCCCCCCACACGACTCTGACGAATGAGAATGACTACCATCGTCTCCCGCTTACCTCCCCCTCAAACAGAAGGATGTTGTTATGATTACACATCAACCTACTAGATCCTAAACCCAATTTAAAGGCCAAAGGAGGACTAAATTAAGAGCCAAACAACACATTTAAAAAGTATTTGTAGCCCGGCAGGTGTGGCTCAGTGGTTGAGCGTCAACCTATGAACCAGGAGGTCACGGTTCGATTCCCGGTCAGGGCACAGGCCTGGGTTGCAGTCTCCATCCCAGTGTGGGGCGTGCAGGAGGCAGCCGATCCATGATTCTCTCTCATCATTGATATTTCTCTCTCTCTCCCTCTCCCTTCCTCTCTGAAATCAATAAAAATGTATTTAAAAAAAACATATATTGATAGGTCTTCCCCAGCAGGGGCACAGGATAGGTGACACACACAGTGGGGCTGACACCCACCTGTGAACTTATAAGTTCTTATACTGAGAACACGTGTGTGTGAGTATAAGGGAGAGAGGGCGGGGGAAAACATTCAAATTTTAATACAAATGTAGCACAGGGGGGAAGCAGAAATGAATAAAACTTTATTTAGACCAAATATCTATTTGCTTTATATTCTAAATTGCCCCTAATGTGGGTCATATGACGGAATCACACTATTTTGCTTTGCTTTTCTCACTGAACTGAAGGCAAAATTAAGATAAAATACTGAAGGAGAACACGCCGACTTTAATAACCGTAGGAAGAGTTCAGGATTTGTTTTCCCTGCCTTACCGCCAGCCCTTTCTAATCAAGAGCGAAAGTGATGGTCGTATCTCAAGCAAGAGACGAGCTGAATATGACGTCTTCCAGGGATGGAAAGTGAATTTCTAATTCTTACCGTCATGAATTTCATAGGCCAAGCTCGTGATCTTCTGGGTCATTATCATCATCGGGCTGCGACAAAATAAAGAATAAATACGTCAAAAGGGCATGTTTAAAATAATAGTTACGATATAGGAAAAGGGGTTTATTTTGCTTATATGACTATGAAATCGTGTATGTTTTTTAACATCAATAAAGACCTTTGGGGAGAGAAGTGGGGGCTGCTGTGTTTGGGGAGGTTCCAGAGACGGGGAACCTGGGCCTCGATTTACAGAGCGAACAGGACAAGCTCGTCCACGGAACCAGGTCACGTGGGAGCAGGGCTGCAGGCTCGATCACGTGGGAGTCACGGGGAGCAGGGCCACTGTGGCTGAGGACGGGAGGCCAGCGGGAGAGGACCGCACAGGCCTGAGACCGCCCGCCACCTGGCCTTGACCGAGCCCTTTCTCAGAATCCCAGCTGCCTGTCGCCTCGGGGGTATGCCTCAAAGTGGAAAGGGGGTTGCTGGGAGAAGGGGAGTGGGCACCACATTGAAGGAGTTTGGGGAAGAAACGCAGAATGAAACAGGACGGAAACAGGGGAGAGAGAAGGATGCTGCCCACCTCCCCGTCCTGGGAGCCGGGCCCCAGGGGGTGGCCCGTCAAAGACGCCCCAGAGACAGCGCGGGCCCAGGGGCTCTCTCAGGGAAGGAAGACTTGAACATCACGCTGCCAGTAAGACGATGGCTCTATTTCCCCCATTTCCCCGTCTCTAACGGAATGGAGAACTTGGGAAGGAATAATAAGTCTACATGGGAAAGCCAGCAGGATCCGTTTGGCCCTGCAGCTGTCACACTGGCAGCCAGGCGGAAGACCGGAGAACAAGTTGCCACGGCTTGTGTATTCATCGTTTTGGGATTTCAGTCAAACCAGGAAGCCCTGTGGGCTGCAGGTAGGACGCGGGCCGCCCCCTGCAGGTCCCGGGAAGGACCCCAACCCGGCGGGTCCCGCCCTGCCCCCTGCTTGGACCGGAGACTGGTCAGCGGCCACTGTCCACCGGGACACCTGGTCCCTGCCAGCTGGTCCTGGAAACCTGGCTCCTGATGTTTGGTTCTGCCCAAAACGTCCATGAAGATGTGGTCCACGCTGACCCGACTTCCTGGCCCACCTCCCTAACGCCGAGCCATGACCGCCAGGCTGGAGGGGAGGCTTATGACGGCAATGCAGCCACACACAGCTGCTGGACCAGTGACATGACGGGACTTTGTTATGTGTCAATCCTGTGCACCACAAAGTGGAAATAAACATCACGGCTGTCTGAACCCAACGATGCTTTCCAAGTATGGACGCTTCGGACAGGACCAACGATCCACTAACCCAGGGGTCCTCAAACTTTTTAAACAGGGGGCCAGTTCACTGTCCCTCAGACCGTTGGAGGGCCGGACTATAGTTTTAAAAAACCTATGAACAAATTCCTATGCACACTGCACATATCTTATTTTGAAGTAAAAAAACAAAACGGGAACAACTACAATATTTGTATTTGCATGTGGCCTGCGGGCCGTAGTTTGAGGACCCCTGTACTAACCCTTTAAACACACAGAGTAGCCCGGCCCCTGTGGCTCAGCAGCTGAGCGTTTACCCAGGAGCCAAGAGGTCGCCGGTTCGATTCCCGGTCAGGGCACAGGCCTGGGTTGTGGGCTCCATCCCCCAGTGGGGGGGCGTGCAGGAGGCAGCCCATCCATGATTCTCTCTCTTCATTGATGTTTCTCTCTCCCTCTCCCTTCCTCAATGAAATCAATAAAAAATGTAAAAATAACTAAATAAATAAAATATCCTTCAGTTCTAACTTCTAATTCCCATGTCACCTTAAAACACAATAAAAATGACTGATAAAATAGCATTCCATTTATTTTATCAGCTGAGTGACATACTTCCCTGCTAGGTGCCACGTGCAGGGCGGGCAAAAGGAGGGTGAGAGCTGCTTCTAGGAAAATAATACAAGACTTTCTAGAGAGCAACACAGGAATCAACTCTGCCTCTCGCACTCACAGCTGTAACCCTCCTGCTGCTCCCTCGCCCGGGCCAGAGGTTCCGACACGCAGCCTGTGCTCCGCGCGCACGCCCTCTGCCCGCGGGCACCGCCCCCGTCTCCTCTCATCCGTCCGAGGACTCGCACAGCCACCGCCTTTTCACTTCTCAAACGACACGGCTGCTTCAGGGCCCGCTTTTCCTCTTGGAACGTCTGTGAGGTAAGGAACTAACAGTCTTTCCCGCCGGCGCCCAGCACCGCGCCGGGCACAGAGACGCACTAGATCAACACCTCTCGATGGCAGGTAAACCGCGTCTCCTGGCATGACGACCTGCCATTCCTCCTGACACGGGCCGCACTCCCTCCTGCCCTGTCCTCTGGCCTGAAAGCGCTCCCCACTCAGCCCCGGAATGATCTGTCCACGTCCCGGGCGCCCCAGGAAGCGCAAGGGGACGCGGGCTCGCGGTGCGGACGGGGGTGCAACCACCTCACCCCTCTTTCCTCTCTGGCGCCCAGCAGCCCTGAACACTCCCTGCGGCTCTCGATGAGCGGCAGGCCACGCCTCTGGTCCAGCCCGTCCCGGGGTAGCCGGGGGCCCGGGCGTGAGCATAAACACTGCAGACACGGTTCTAGGGAGGGGCTGCGAGGAGCAGGTGGCAGACAGAAGCAAGAAGCGCTGGAGGGGACGTCAGCGAGGGGGTGTGGTGAGCGGGTGCCCAGGAAGGTCCCCCGAGGGGACTGAACAGAGCCCGCACTGGCCTGCACGGCCAGCGACAGCACAGCGAGGGCTGCGGGACAGACCACCCCGAGCGCAGGTCCTGTGTGTGTGTTGGGGGGGGGGGGGCGTTCTGAGCGGGCAGTTCCACTGCAGCGGAGACTGGCTTTTCCTGACAGCACATGTGGGTCATGAACACCTGCTTCTGTGACAGTCAGAGCGACTGCACCAGTATTTCACTTACGCCTCTACTGACACACTCACGCACACAAACACGCACACACACACACACCATGCACACGCACATGTGCACACGTGCACACACCACGCACACAGAGTAAGTCTCCCTCGCCGCGTGCACGTGAGACGCCCCACAAAGAGCTGCCGGTGAGCCCTCAGCAGGGCCCGGCCTCACCCCTGGGCTCTCGTGCCTGGGCGACAGGCCCCCTACACGAAGGGGCACTTGCTCAGTTCCACCGGCTGCAGCAGCCCACACTGGGGGGCTACTCCACTGACCCTCATTAGCATCGAGCCAGGATCCTCTGCTACAACACACTCAGCGCTTCTAAATGCCTACAGATCCATTGAGGGGAGCCTGCCTCTAGGGGGCTTTTCTCTCCTGTGCCCGAGAGAGAAGGGGGGCGGGGGAGAGAGAGGCCTTCAACTTAGTTCTGCCAGAATGGTCCCCTTCAGCCAATCTGTCCGTCTAATACTTATCAGCTCACTGATCATGGGCAAATGTTTTTCCTAATGGATAAAAAGTACACACAGTACTCAAAGTTTTATATCGGGTTTTCCATTTTTAAGATGCTATGTTGTTTTTTTCCTACATACTCACCTCTCTCTCTCTCTCTCTCTCTCTCTCTCTCTCTCCCTCTCTCCCTCTCCCTTCATCCCTCCCTTTCACTCTCTGAAAAGCAATGGAAAATTTATCTCAGGTGAGGATTTTTAAAAAATGCCTAATTTAGCTCTTATTTATCATAACACAAGTGCGTATTCCAAGCGATGAATTTGCCGCTGCGAGCACAGCTCTGCCCACGCTGTCAGGTCTCCCAGGCTGTGTTTACGTTCCCGTGCGGGTTCCTTTGCTGGAGTGTTACTGCCGATTCAATAAGTAGTAATTCAACGCCTCTCCGTGCTACGCTTCAAGGATACCGTGGTGAGCAAGACCAGTGGTCACTGTTCTCAGGAAAATTAAATTTCCTACGTGGTTTTGATTCTTTTAAAGAGACACACAGCATCCTTCCACTGAGGTACGATGACCTGTGACTGTCTCTTCTTCAAGTTCACTAAGATGCTGGGGGCCAGTCTACCCAGGGTCCTGCTCCCGTTCATTTCCTCGGAGACCTGGGACCGTGCGCCAGGGGGCAGCACCGAGCCGCCTCCTCTGAACCCCAGGTGCACCTCTCCTTCTATCCAACACCCTGCCAATCACTCAGCCTATCTGATCAGGTTTGCTTTGGCCTGGCTCTGTTTGTTCTTTTGAATGCAATCCCCTCTCATCCGAGCCTATTTTTAAAACCTGCTTAATAAAAGCAAAATCCCTTTTAATCTCATCAAGGAGAAGAGAACGTTCCCCTTCTCAAGCTCCCCGTTTCCCGTGGGGACTTCCCGCGGCATCACATGCTCCGGTCCATTTCTGCTGCTGGACAATGTTTTTCCTGGACGCCGGGACTTGTTTTGTTTCTTTTTTTTTTTTTTTTGCACTTTGGTCGTCCTCAAATGGGGTTTCTGGTCATTACTTATCCTGTCAGAGGACTCGGGACTGACTAAAGGCAGGTCTTCGTGTCCCGTTGGGTAGAGAGAGCTGGCCGGCTGGACAGAGAACCGGGAGGCTCACCGGCAGCTTCCCGCCCGTGCACGGTGCCCGCGGGCGTCCCTTCATAGAGACTCGCGCAGTCAGCTCTTTGGGGCTTGGCCTGCGCTCATCTCTCAACAGGGTTCTGTCACAGCAAAGAGGACCACAGAGGGACGAGGCCCCCTTGGAAGGAGCAAGCCGAGTTCGTCCCACCCGTCAGCGGGCCCCGGGCAGAAGGATGGAGAACACGGCTCGAGAGTGAAATGCAAGGAAGCGAGATACACGCTCCAGGGTGTTCTCTGGGAGACCCAGGCGGAATGTGTTCGCCCAGGACCCTGGTCCAAAGAAAGCCGAGAGGATGCTGAGAGGCAAGACAGGCCATCAGAGCGCATGCAGAAGCCGCTGAGCGACCCAGAGAGCAGAGAGAGAGAGAAAGGGGGGCGAGGATGCGGGCTCAGGGGGGCTGGTTGGCAACAGCTGGACAGGACTGCAGGGATTTCTATTGGAACTGGGAAACGCTTTCAATGTCAGATGCCACGTGACAAGTGTAACTGTTAGACTAGCTTACGCCAGTGAGGGGAGAGGTGACGTGATGGCTTTGTGACACTACAGAAGACGGCTTTATAAGGGCATTTCTACATTCATAACGGACTTTTCAACTAAAATGTTCAGCAATAGCTTTTCATGTGAACCACTAAATGCAACTACATTTTGTCCTGTAACCAACATGTTAGAATAGAAAAGAAAAGAAAAAACAGGCTACTAAATCAAAGTTTTCATCTTACCCTGAAAAATCAGCAGAATATTGTCCATAATCAAAGATATAGACTCTAGTAATTTGGCACACTATGAGGTATCCCAAAGCAAACACAAAACAATATCTGGAAAACAAAAATAAGCTAGATTAGTGAAAATAAAGGGTTCATTTGGTTCAAGAACACATTTCAGTAATTTGTTAACTATGTGACAGGGTTCGAAACTTCAATGTCACTAGATCCACTCCCCGAGAGCTTTCTTCAATAAGTTCGAAAAACTCCGCTAGTTCCCGCTCCCGTGTGCTGGGACGCGGGGCCCCGTCAATGGCTAATGCATGCGATGGCTGCCTCCGTCAGCTTCTTCCTTCTGAAACGCCTCCAGGCACCAAATTCTGGATCTGAAAGTCATGCTCTCGGGCATAAAACTGTGATTCGCTCTACTTACTCCTCCTTCTTTCTAGAAAACGATATTTAGCACAAAAACATCTGGCTGAAATGTACATTTAACAAACTCTTCGTGGGATTTTTACACACGTGTCCTCAGTGGTCTCTGAGTATACATCCTGCGTGGGCATCAGACGTGCAGTTCCTCACACTGTTAGGCATGGGAACTTGTGGTAATTAAGACATGGTGCGGGCGGAGAATTTACATGTCGATAGGAGAGGACACAGACCCAGAAGCAGATCCGGGACTATATACATGGCATGGCATGGAGTGAAGGCTGCGGGCAAGTCGCAGGAGTGGACGGGTTACCTCCCAAGGAGTTGACATCTGGTGGGGAAAAGCATGTTGTACCTGCATCTACACAATTCTAGCCAGATTCAAGAATTATACACAAGACAGAACCAAGCACACAGAAGCTGTGGGTAAAGATTCAAATGTGCTCAAATGAGGGAAGGACTTTCTCATCATTTCTAATTAAATACTAGTAGCCTGGTGCACGAAATTCGTGCACATTAAAAGGGAATTAGTTGCCCTAACCGGTTTGGCTCAGTGGATAGAGCATCGGCCTGCGGACTCAAGGGTCCCAAGTTCGATTCTGGTCAAGGGCATGTACCTTGGTTGCGGGCACATCCCTAGTGGGGAGTGTGCAGGAGGCAGCTGATCGATGTTTCTCTCTCATCAATGTTTCTAACTCTCTATCCCTCTCCCTTCCTCTCTGTAAAAAATCAATAAAATATATTTTTTTTTAAAAAGGGAACTAATTAGCAGAGACATTTTAATATTGCTATTTGCCCTTTCTCTATAATAGAAGTGTGAGAGATGAAAGGAAATTAGTAAAATGTATATGAAAATAATATATAAATTTATTAATAAATGAACAGTAACAAAAGGATATAACAACAACAGAGGCATGATATAAAAACGACAAAAACATGATATGAAAACAACAAAAACATGATATAAAAACAACAGTGATGCAAACAATGACTGATAAAGTGATTAGTCTTATTCTAATATCTCCCTGTACACCACATTAAGAGTGAAAACACTTTCAGAGTGCTTGACTGGTTTCCCTTGTGATGAAATATTTAGAACTTTAACTGTAACATCACACGCTCTTCAAACTTGAGAGAAAGCAACATATACTGACCATGTGCAAAAACGGGTTCTGGTAGGAATATGCCTACTTTGTCTAGAGTTTGTCCTTGTGATTTATTAATAATCATCACAAATGCTGGTATCACGGGAAACCGTCGTCAAATCAATTTAAATGGGAGACCAGGGTCAGATGGGGACAAATTAATTCTTGGAATCAGAATAGCCTCTCCCTCTGCAGATCCTGTTAATACTTCAGCTTCGATAATGTTAGGTCGTAATCTTTTGATAATAAATCTGGTACCATTACAAAGACCCCATTTACTATTGAGATTTCTCAATAACATGATGATTACACCCACTTTCAATTTTAATTTATGATATGGCATGCCCAAAGGAGTAATACTATTAAGAAATTCGATGGGAAATTTTTCCTTTTCAGCATCACCTGTGGAATCAATGGAATAATCACTCAAATATGTGTGAAAATCTCCATCAAGTATATCCAAATTTTCTTCATTTAATTTTTGAACATGCTCATTTTTTGGACAAAGAATTGCACATTTAGATATATTTTTAATATTATCTATACCAGTGATTCTCATCCTTGGCTGCACATTAGAATCACCTGGGAATCTTTTTAAAATCCTGATTCCTGGGCCTCATCCTCCAGAAATTGTTTCTTTGTTATGGGGTGGGGCCACAACATTAGTAACAAAGAAACAGAATTTCTGGAGGATGAGGCCCAGAAATCAGGGTTTTAAAAAGATTCCCAGGTAATTCTAATGTGCAGCCAAGGTTGAGAACCACTGATCTATAGATATAGTATTTCCAAAGGTAGCTTCAATAATAGATCCATTAAAAATCATTTCACTTCCATGCTGGGCTCCGAGGGCGGGTTCCTGCCTGAAACCTCTCCCTGAGGGCGGGTTCCTGCCTGAAACCTCGCCCTCCAGGAAACAGCTGGGGGAGGGCACAGCCATTTCCAAGACGACCCCTGCAGGACTGACTTCCTTCCGGTTGGTCACGCTTCTGGCCGTGATGTTACACCCAAGGTTTTTATATAAGTAGATAGCCTATATAATAAAAGGGTAATATGTAAACTGACCCTAACAGCAGAACAACCAGAACGACCACTCGATCAGTCAATATGAGGTGCACTGACCACCTCTTGGTCCCTTTCCCCGGGGGTGGGTAGCAAGGGATGTGGGCAGCCCCAGGCCAAGGCCCCAGCCCCACTGGTCACCCCACACAGAGGGTGACCCATGGTGGGGGTGGGACCGGCACGCGGGTGGGAACGGCCATCCTCTTGGTCCTTTCCCCCAGCCGTCAGGCTCCAATCGCCCGATGGCAAACAGGGAACCGGGGGTGGGTGGCAGCTGGGGGACAGGGTTGGCGAGTGGGTGGAACGGCCGACCTCTTGGTTCCTCCCCCCGGCCAGCAGGCTCCGATCACCTGATGGTGAATGGGGAACTGAGGGTGGGTGGTGGTAGGGGGTGGGGCCGGCTGCGGACAGCTAGGGAAGATGGCCCTGATCACAGGCCAGGCCTAGGGACGGTACACACGCACGAATTTCGTGCGCCGGGCCTCTAGTGTGTGTGTGTGTGTGTGTGTGTGTGTGTGTGTGTGTGTGTGTATATATTTGCCATATGTTTGGCTAGATTAAAATCTTAAATTTTTCATGTAAGCAATTCAGGTGGTTTATGAAAGAGTTCTTTAGAACTTTAGACAAATAGGCAATTCCAATCTAGTTGAACCTCCTGAGCAAGGAAGAGGGGGACCGCCCCCCAACTGAAACGCTTTCCACAGGGAGCATGCTCCTGCAGCGACCTGATGGAGCAGCCACACGCACACTCACACACGGTGTGGACACGTCAACACAAAACAACTTCCACAGCTCAGGCGGCAGCTGCATTTCCCAAAGCCGCTTCAGCACCTCCCAGTTCACATGCTCTCCCGCAGCCTGGCCAGCGCCCTGTCAAGAGAAGCGACTGCTCTACCCGCTTTGAGCCCCGCCGGACTGTGCTGGCCGGTGGATTGTGGCGGGAGTAACTGTTCCCAGGCGCAGCCCATCATGAGCCTGGCAGTTCCTCCTTCCCGCCGTTTGGAAGTTGGTTGCCAGGAAAGTGTGACTGTCCTGAGGCCCCCACACATGGAAGCCCTGGAGGATGAGGTGAAAACGGAAGGAGGGCCCCAGTGCCCACCAGTAGACGAGGGGATAAAAAAGCTGTGGGACATTTACACCGTGGAGTACTACGCAGCTGTGAAAAAGAGGGATCTCTAACGTCTGGGACAGCATGGGTGGACCTGGGAAATACTATGCTAAGTGAAATAAGCTAATCCGAGCAGGACAAATATCACATGATCTCACTTATCTGTGGAATCTAATGAACAAGATGAATTGACCAACCAAATAAGACCCGAAGCAGGAAGGCATGCAATAGACTGACATACCTCCATGTGGGGTGAGGGGACGAGAAGAGATAAACCAAAGAACTTAGATCCTTACTAGAGGCCCCGTGCACAAATTCATGCTCATTGAAAGGAAATTAATTAGAAGAAATATTTTAATATCACTATTCATCCTTTCTCTATAATAGAAGTGTCAACCAAATTCACGATCGACAATGACAGATCAAAACACACACCTGCAATTGGCGCCAGTGAGAGCTTTATATGTATCGCACATGCATGAGTCAACTTAGCCTTTTATATATATAGAATAAACAAGCTTAATTAGACCTGCTTTCTGATTTAGCTAAACTTTTTCCAGCCCCGTGAAGCACCCCAACTTCTCTTTCAGGTAATTGTCAGCAACACAGCAGTAAATATCAACACGAAGCAGATTATTATTGTAGATCACGCAGGGAGAACAAAGGGTAAATATTTAACTGTAGCAGTGTTTGACTATATTCTGCGCAGTCAGAAAACCGGGTGTCATTTTCAATGTCCACCATTTCTTGCTTCTTTTCAGTCGGGTCAAGTTTCTAAACTTTCTAAATCTCCATTTTCCGCTAATGAAAAGAAAATAGGATTCTACCGAGTCTCCTATCTACCTACTCCAGGACTTCTGTGAGGATCAAATGAGATGAAGCACGGAAAACGCTTCACAGTCATTTGGTTACAGTGTAAAATGTTTGCACCTGGCTATGAAGCAAGTCGTGTTCTGGGCTGAAGAAACTGCAAGGAGTCTAGTCATTGCTGGGGAGAGGAAGCCAGGCGTTGCTATGTGACGTCATTACCTGGTGCCCACAGCCACTGTTTCCAGGCTGGGCTGGGCTGTGGGCTGCATTTTGCGCCATGGGGTCTTGGCAGTGTTGGCTGTGATTTGGTGGGGTGTCGCTCTGGGGTGGTGGTGGGGCCTGTGTCCCACTTGGAGGAAGCCAAGTGTTGCTTTGTGGGCGCCAGGTCCACGGTGCCATTTCTCTGTGCGTGTCATGGCAGTTCCTGCGTTAAGTGCCTGCCTTCTGGTGGTCAGTGCACGTCATAGTGACCGGTTGGATGGTTGGACACTTAGCATATTAGCCTTTTCTATATATAGATTATATATATATAGATATGCACAGCCCATGGATATGGGCAACAG